GGCCTGATGTTCCCGTGGGCAAGGCCCTCCCCTCTAACCCACAGCCACTCCCAGGGCCGAGTTTCTGGGTGCTGGGAGGTCGACCTGTCTCCCCTCAAGATCCACCGTGGTCACTGTCAGATGCTCCGCATTGTGGGACCTGCATGAGGGTGACCCGGGCAGGCAGGGCCTTCCTGGAGCTGTCCCAGGGCCTGTGTGGTCCTGAGCTGACACTCCGGGAGGATGACACCCCACCTCCACACGCCTGAGTGAAATGGTAGCACCCTGGCCGTGGCAGCACGCTCGCAGCCCCATCAGCACAGAACTGCAGCTGCAGGCAGGGGGCAGCCTCGGGTGGCCAAGGCTTTGGTCTGCAGGCCCTGAGCCTGTATGTGATTAAGCAGGGGCTTTGTCCAAAACCCACGCTTAGTGCAGGCTGGAGAGACTGTTTCAGAAGGAGGGAGGGCGAGCCCCGGGCGGATGAGGGGGAGAGGCTGGCTCCTGGTCGTGGTGAGACGCAGCCGAGCCTGATGACTGAAAAGTGAGCAGGGACTGGGCTTCCTAGGAAGCAGTGAGGAGGCAGCTCCAGACCCAGTGAGATCACACCTAGGATGCTCCCAAGAAACTCCCAGGGGTGGGGGCCAGGACGTGCATCGCCGTTGGGCTGGGGCCAGGGCGTGCATCGTCATTGGGGGTAGGGCCAGGGCATCCATTGTCATTGGGGGTGGGCAGCCATGTGGATGAGCCTATGGGGAAAAGGGAGATGCGGCTGAGTTTGATGGTCTAGAGGTGCCCGCACCCTCACAGACCCAGGTGCCCTGGCACGCACAGCCCTGCTAAGATGGCAGACATGGCGGGAGTGGTGGTGCCATGACTGAGTGCATAGCAGAGAACAGATAAAAAGAGCTTAATGACATATAAATGTAAAGTTTAAAGACCAAAGAAGGGTCTTGTCCAGCCAATCCTGGTGAAATGAATGCAGGAGTCTCTCGGTTAGCCTCTGGCCCGGATGGGAAAACTGTCAAAACTCAGGGCCTAGAGTCTGCACTGAAGGAAAGAGGTTCCAGACAGACCCAGATTAGGAACCTCCTCACCCCACCCCACCCCCAAGAGACTAGAGCAGAGGGGGAGGGCCCACAGGCAGCACAACTCCTCTACCCTGGTTTCCCTGGTAAAGACGCTGTGGTGAGTACTGACCAAATGACCAGAGGCCTCCCTCCCAGGACATTGTGGACAATTTACACCAATCTGTACTTTTGCTCCTTGAGCCTTGTCTTGAGGGCCAGCTCAAATGATGACAATGGCTTTTCTGGCCAACTTACCCAGACTCTGTCCTGAGAGGAGTAAGCAGCCCCAGTCTACTGAAGGCCCTCCCTGTCTTCTGGGACAATCTGTGGGGTCCTTCTGAGACACACAGTGACTAGCTTTGCCCAGCCCTGGGAGCAGGAGCTGAACCAGAGGCAGAACGTAATTAAATGACAGACAACTATGAACTCCTTCACCCGTCTGAGCTCAGCCTGCCGAGGCCAAAGCCTTAATCCACTCCAAACCGCTCCCTGCTCTCAGTTCTGTCCTGGTGGGACTGTGAGCATGTGCTGCCATGGACAGGGTGCTGTCATTTCGCTCTCACTCTAGCTCCTCAATCTCCCAGGCTCGACCGATACTCACGCCTTAGCCTCCCAAGTAGCTACAGGAACTACAGGTGTGCGCCACCACTCGTGGCTAATTTTGGGAGTTTCTGTAGACATGGTAACCATTGTAGGAATATATTGCAGCTTATCTATTCTCTGTAGTGATAGCCATTTTAAAATATTTGGCTATTAAGAAGAAAGTTGTTATGAATACTATATTCGCCTTTGTGTCAACAGATTTTCATTTTGGTTGAAACATAGAAGGAATTTTTTTTAAAGTTATGGATTTTTAAATGATTGTCAGTTGTCAGTTACTTTAAAAAAATGTAAATTCTTAAATTTAAAAGTTTAGGATGTCTGACTACCCTGACAAAAACAAGCAATGAGGAAAGGATTTCCTATTTAATAAATGGTGTTGGGAAAACTGGCTAGCCATATGCAGAAAACTGAAACTAGATCCCTTCCTTACACATTATACAAAAATTAACTCAAGATGGATTAAAGACTTAAACGTAAGACCTAAACCCATAAAAACCCTAGAAGAAAACCTAGGCAATATCATTCAGGACATAGGTATGGCCAAAGACTTCATGACTAAAACGCCAAAAGCAACGGCAACAAAAGCCACAATTTACAAATAGGATTTAACTGAACTAAAGAGCTTCTGCACAGCAAAAGAAACTCTCATCAGAGTGAACAGGCAACCTACAGAATGGGAGAAAATGTTTGCAATCTATCCATCTGACAAAGGGCTAATATCCAGAATCTACAAGGAACTTAAACAAATTTACAAGGAAAAAAAAACCATCAAGAAGTGGGTGAAGGATATGAACAGACACTTCTCAAAAGAAGGCTTTTATGTGGCCAAAAAACATATGAACAAAAGCTCATCATTACTGGTCATTAGAGAAATGCAAATCAAAACCACAGTGAGATACCAACTCATGCCAGTTAAAATGGCAATCTTTAAAAAGTCAGGAAACAACAGATGCTGGAGAGGATGTGGAGAAATAGGAACGCTTTTACACTGTTGGTGAGAGTGTAAATTAGTTCAACCATTGTGGAAGACAGTGTGACAATTCCTCAAGGATCTGGAACCAGAAATACCATTTGACCCAGCAATCCCATTACTGGTATATTCCCAAAGGATTATAAATCATTCTACTATAAAGATACATGCACACGTATGTTTACTGCAGCACTACTCACAATAGCAAAGACTGGGAACCAACCCAAATGCCCATCAATGATAGACTGAATAAAGAAAATGTGGCACATATACACCATGGAATACTATGCAGCCATAAAAAAGAATGAGTTCATGTCTTTTGCAGGGACATGGATAAGCTGGAAACCATCATTCTTGGCTAACACAGGAACAGAAAAGCAAACACTGCATGTTCTCACTCATGAGTGGGAGTTGAACAATGAGAACACATGGACACAGGGAGGGGAACATCACACACAGGGGCCTGTTGCAGGGTCGGGGCCTAGGGGAAGGATGGCTTTAGGAGAAATACCTAACATAGATGACGGGTTGACAGGTGCAGCAAACCACCATGGCACGTGTATACCTGTGTAACAAACCTGCACGTTTTGCTCATGTATCCCAGAATTTAAAGTATATAAAAAAAAAAAAGTCACAGGATGTTTGTGATAGGTCTATTACACTGATGTTGACATCACACATGGTTGACTATGTGGAGACTCCAAGTGAAATTTCTTGCGGTTCTCAGTGTCAGGAAAATATGTATTTCTGGATAAAAACTCAAAAATTTTAGAAGAACATCCAAGTTTCATAGTCTAGAGCTCTAGCACTGGAATCTTTTCCAAATTTAAGGATTAATGATTTACCTAAATCTAAAAATAGTAGATTGCAGATGTATTTAAAGAGTGTGCTTAGGTAGTATGTTTATATATTAAGATTAAAATCATCTTCTAAAGTTTATTAATTCTAATATAACCTTTATTGTTTCATGTAGACGTATCTTTCTGATTCCCAGGATAATTTAAACAATTAATTCAAAGCAACTATTAACTTAGATCTAGATTGGGTATCTATTTATGCATTTGAAGCTTTTGATATGTATTTCAAATCAGAAATGTGTGCTGCTCATGGAAAGTTGTGACTTAGAGCCTCAGGTAAGTTTTTTTTCATGTGAACATACTGCTTCCAATTGTTGTTATGCCCAGAGCAGACAATTAATAAATACCCTTGGAACTGAATGAGTGAATTAACTGCAAATATCACAATACATCTTCTTAGTGGGCATGATAATTAGACATATTTAGTCCTTGCTGTGACCTAAGAAAGGAATTCTTTGCATTAAATGTTTAATATCTCACCCTGTTCATACAGCTGGAGTTACTGATTCAGTTTGATGTGAATTCAGTCTTATAATAAAAGGCCCATCATTATAACCTGCACTTATGCTTCCTATAGTATTGGAACTTCCAACTGGTAGGCAAAATAGATATGCTTCATATTCTGAAAAACCACAAGAAATCTCTCTTTATTCATAATAAACACAGAAATAGGTATTCTATTAAACTGAACAATAGAACTCACTGGGCATGACTGCATAAACTATATCACAAATTGTCTGAGTGTCTGGAAAGGTCAGTGGGCCATTTCGCTCCACGCTGTGCCACAGGCCAAACAGGAGGACTGTCAGTGACTCACTGCCTGGGTCACCCAGGGCAAGTGGTGTTACCCCGAACGTCAAGCTTAACCCAAATCCTTAATCCGTAAATCTAACCCTTAACCCCACACCGGCCAAATCACAACCCCAACCCCAACTCCAAGTCTAGCGCCAGCCATAACCTTAACCTCTAACGCTAACCACTAACCCTTAAACCTAACCCCTACCCAAAACCATTCACCAATGCTAACTTTAACCCCATACCCTACCCCTACCCCTACCCCTAACCTCAAACCCAACCCTAACCCTAAACCCTAACCCCAATTCTAACCCCAACGCTAACCTTAAGCCTAATCCTTACCCCTAACCCTAACTTCAACTTAACCCCAACCTCAACCCTAACCCTAACCCTAACCCTAGCCCAAGCCCCAGTCCTAACCCTAGCCCTAGCCCTAACCCGAACCCGAACCCGAACCCGATCCCCAACCCTAAACTAACCCTAACCCTAACCCCTAACCCTAACCCTAACCCCTACCCCGGACCCTGACCCGAACGCCAGACCCTGACCCGAACGACGGACCCTGACCCGAACCCCGGACCCTGACCCGAACCCCGAACCTGAACCCGAACCCGAACCCTAACCCGAACCCGAACCCTAACTCACCCCCCAACCCACTCCCCCCTTCCGGGGCTTCTCCGGCCCCACCCATACCCTGGCCACAGTGCCCTGGGCCCTGTGGTTCCCGGCTTCCGAGGGCGGGCTGACCGAGGGCTCCTCCCGCGTGAAGGGGTGGAGCCTGTGGGCCTTTATAAGGGCCGCTGGCCTGCTGGACCGGCCTCCTGGCTGGACCAGCGCGTCGTGCACAGGCCGACTGAGGGGCTCGGGAGCCCGCCGACCTCTCTCTGCCCGTGTCTGTCCGCGGAATTCCGGCCAGGTCTCCCCGCGATGGCTCTCCCGACACCTGGAGACGGCGCCCTCCCGGCGGAAACCCGAGGACGAGGACGGCGAAGGAGACTCGTTTGGACCCCGAGCCAGAGGGAGGCCCTGCGAGCCTGCTTTGAGCGGAACCCGTACCCGGGCATCGCCACCAGGGAAGAGCTGGCCCGGGCCATCGGCATTCCGGAGCCCAGGGTCCAGATTTGGTTTCAGAACGAGAGATCACGCCAGCTGAGGCAGCACCGGCGGGAATCTCGGCCCTGGCCGGGGAAACGTGGCCCGCAGGAAGGCAGGCGAAAGCGGACCGCCGTCACCCGGTCCCAGACCGCCCTGCTCCTGCGAGCCTTCCAGCAGGATCGCTTTCCAGGCATCGCCACCAGGGAAGAACTGGCCAGAGAGACGGGCCTCCCGGAGTCCCGGATTCAGATTTGGTTTCAGAACCGGAGGGCCAGGCACCCGGGCCAGGGTGGCAGGGCACCGGCGCACGCAGGCGGCCTGTGCAACGCGGCCCCGGGCAGGTGTCCTCCGCTCCCTCGCCGGTCGCCTTCACCCACACCGGGGCGTGGGGAACGGGGCTTCCCGCACCCCACGTGCCCTGCGCGCCCTGGACTCTCCCACGCGGGGCTTTCGTGAGCCAGGGAGCAGGGGCCGTCGCCCCGCTACAGCCCAGCCAGGCTGCGCAGGCAGCAGGGATCTCCCAACCTGCCCCGGCACGCGGGGATCGGTATTTTGCCTACGCTGCCCTGGCTCCTCCGGAAGGGGCGCTCTCCCACCCTCAGACTCCTTGCTGGTGGCCTCCGCGCCCGAGCCAATGCCGGGGGGACCAGGACCCGCAGCGCCACGGCCTGCCGGGCCCTTGCTCGGTGGGACAGCCTGGGCCCGCCGGAGCTGAGCCGCAGGACCAGGGTGTGCTTGCGCCTCCCACGTCCCAGGGGAGTCCGTGGTGGAGCTGGGGCCAGGGCGCGGCGGCGGCGGCGGCGAGAGACTCCACACCGAGGAGAACCGAGCATCCCGGGGATCCCGGAGCCGGCCCAGGTTCCAGGACGGGGCTGTCTACCGCGCATGCGCGGGTGTGCGGGCAGCCGCCTGGGCTCCGGGAGCAGCCCTGGGAAAGCTCTCATGCGTTTCCACCACCCGACCCCCGCTTTATCCCCCGGACGGCTTAGGGTCCCCACGCCGCCTGGGGACCCTGGCCGGCGGGCTCCCGAGCCCCTCTGTCGGCCTGTGCACGACGCGCAGGTCCAGCCAGGAGGCCGGCCCAGCCGGCCAGCGGCCCTTATAAAGGCCCACAAGCTCCACCCCTTCAGGAACGCGGGAGGAGCCCTGGGTCAGCCCGCCCTCGGAAGCCGGGAACCACAGGGCCCAGGGCTCTGTGGCCTGGGTATGGGTGGGGCCGGAGAAGCCCCGGAGGGGGGAGGGGGGAGGGGGTGGGCGGAGGGTGACGGGGGCGGGGAGCGGGCTTCGGCGGCTGGCTCTCTCCGCCTCTCCAGGAATTCTGCGGGGACTGGAAGCCGCTCTTGGGCCTGGCACGCGTCTTCATCAGGGAGAAGCCAGCCCGGAAGGGTGGAGTGGAGTGTGGGACTGAACCTCCATGAGAGTCTTGAGCTTTCTGGGCCCTCTCTCCATGAAGGAGGCCGTGCCCGTGGGTGTCGCCGTTGCCGTGATAGTCTCACACACGCAGGTGTGTGGATCGCGTTCACTTCCACGCAGAACACCAGAGCGAAACCCAGGAGCAAAGCCGCATCCCGGGCGTCATGGCCTGAGGATGGATTCCTGCATCCTGCAACATGGGGGGAGTCTCCACTGTGGCTGCTCTGGAAACTGGCAAGGAGAGCGAGGACACGGTGCTGGCCTTCCTTGCTTCCCTGGAAGTTTCTGGGTCCCCGCAGAGCTCGGGAATCAAACAGTCAACATTGTCACGTTTATTTGCTTCCAGTTTCTGGACATTTTCTTGATTTCCTTTCAAATTTATTACGCATTCTGTGAATTCCTGTAACTTCTTGATTTTAATTGTCTGCATTAAATGTTTAAAGTAAAATTATTTTTCTGAAAAGCAGAAATATCCATAGTTGCATATATGATTGAAATATTTTACACAGATTTTCTATGGCATCTATCACCACCTCATGCGAAATTCCAAGTTTTTTCATTTGAAACACCCTTCCCATCAATAGACCATATTGTAATAATTTGTTGTACGTGATTACTTTTATACCATTAGAAAATTAATTATATATTATGTACATATTTTTGAAGTACTGCAATGCAATAAATAGTATATGGTCAGAAGTATTGTTTTCCCTAACATAAACCTAATATGAGTAAAATTATTTACCTGAATTCAGATCTTTTGGCTTCAATTGCCATTCTCTCTCATTAGCACTTCCCCAATCCATAAAAGATATCAGTTGTATTTTTTAATTCATTATTTATTGAAATGGGTTATTTTACGTTAGAATGTTTTTATGGCAATTTAGGACCTTTTCAATAAATATAGTGATCTTGAGGTCCTAGCCTCTTGTTTCTGTTTTACCACGTGAGACGGGTACTCCTCTTTCACCGTGATTGTGAGCTCCCCAGACCTTCCTGAAAGCAGACACAGGTGTTGTGCTTCCTGTACAGCTTGCAGAACCATGAGCCAATCAGACTCTTTTCTTATAAATTACCCAGTCTCAGGTTTTCTAAATAGCAATGCAAGAATAGCTTAATACAGCATATGAAAAGAAAGCAATTCATATATTTATCAGTTTGAGTCTCCAGACCTCTGCCAAGCTTCAACTCAAAGAGCAGGAAGTGAGCAACCCCCATCTACTGCTCCTGCTCATGGGAGAATTTTCAGTTTATCTTAAAACATTTCAGGTCAAAAGCCCCGTGTTTTATGCAAAAGAAGGAAGGTGTCTAAAAGAATGGGTCTGTATTTATTTTTATTTCTGAGACAGGGTCTCTTTCCCTGTCATTCTGCAGTTTGAGTCTCCAGACTTCTGCCAAGCTTCTTCAACTCAAAGAGCAGGAAGTGAGCAACCCCCATCTACTGCTCCTGCTCATGGGAGAATTTTCAGTTTATCTTAAAACATTTCAGGTCAAAAGCCCCGTGTTTTATGCAAAAAGAAGGAAGGTGTGTCTAAAAGAATGTCAGTGGGTTCAGATTATTTTTATTTCCCGAGACAGTTCTCTTCTCTGTTTGCCCTGGGATTGGTGGCAGTGGCTCACCGTGGCTTTGACATTTTGGCTCCAGTTATTCTCCTTCCCACCTCAGCCTCCCAAGTAGCTGGGACCACACAGGGGACCCTCCTACCACAACCGGCTAATATTTGTATTTTTTGGCAGAGATGAGGTTTGTTATGTGCTGAGCAGGTTGGTCTTGAACTCCTGAGCTCCAGTGACTCTCCAGTCTCTGCCTTTCAAAGTGGAATTACAGGTGTGAGCACCACACTGGGCAGATGGGTCTTAACTGATTTTGACCAGGGTGGCCTGGAGCATGGAAGACATGCCCTCAATTTTTTTCCTAATACCATATTTGATAGTTATATAATCATGATTTTTTATCTCTGTAATTCATAAGGATATGATAGTGGTGCATTCTGGTGCTTGGGGGAAAAAAAAGTACATTAAAGTTTGAAACCACCTGAAAGCAACTGCCACCCAGATATCTGCACAGTAAGATATTTTCTTCTGCTGCATTTTAGCCAAACAGCGAGTGTTCCTGGAAGTTGTTTTTTAATTTTTATGACAAGTGTTTTCTAAGATCCCAAATCAGGGAGGCCACGGGAAAATCACCATTGCTCACATGGAAAGCACGCACAGCAAATGCATTTCCTCAATTTCGAACCAGGAGTTGTTGCCTCCTGGGTGCACATGGGAATCAATGGCTTTTTAGTTACCTAAACTCAAAAGGCAATAGATAAATGAATGCAGAATCCCTGAGGGACCTGTGCTGTTTAAAGCTCTCTGGGTGACTATCAGGAACAACCAATCAAACTTCGCTTAAATCAGCCTCTTCCGGTGAACTAGTGGCAAATGGTTTCCCAAAATGAATGGTTTAAATCAGCCTCTTCCGGTGAACTAGTGGCAAATGGTTTCCCGAAATGAATGGGAAGATTTGCTGCTGGGTTATGGTCTTCTGATCTTACCTGCATTACTCTACTTTTCTTTGCAGAACTGGCCTCTGCTACACATTTTATTCCTGATTCAGTCCAGTTCTACTCATACCAAATGCATAGTATGTGCTAGGTGACCTGCATGCTGAACCCAGGGAGAGGACTTTGCTGAATAACACAATTGCATCCCAAAACCCAAAAATACTGGACTCCAAATGATTCTCCTGCCTTGGCTTCCAAAGACAAGGTGGATCAGGCATGAAAGTCACCGTGCTTTGGCCTATACCCTAAAAAATTAAAACTACCCTACTTACTAAATTGATGTAAACATGGGAAGACCTAGAAGGTCACCAGCAAGCAAGTTAGGACACAAGAATACCATGGAATATTAACATCCACCTGATGACTCTGAGAAACACGCCTTCACTTTTAAAACAATACAAAACAGTGCTATTATTCTGAAATATGAAGTTAAAATTTTGTGCAAATAGGTAATAAGTATATATGTATAACATTCATGCAGAAAGACATATGCCAAAGCAAAATCACACAAGTTCAATCAGTTATTGCTAAAGTGAAACACACATGTGTAATTTAAGTAAATAGAACCAGCCTTCACTGATGCCCTGGCAACCACTTCCTTTCTCTTCTCTCTTTTCATTCCCCCAGTCACAAGATCTTAAGGGCTAACATTGTAGATCAACTTTCTTGTTTTCTACACATGTTTTGTCATGGAAATTTAAAACATACAAAAATAAAAGTAAAAACAGTATCACACGCCTGTTACCCAGGCTCACTTCTAATAACACGCCTAATTTTGTAAGTTATCTATTTCAACTCATTTCTCTCACATACAGAGAAATTGAAGGTAAAATCTTGGCTGAGCATTAATGCCTGCTTATGCCTGTGTAATCCCATTACTTTGGAATGACGAGGCAGGAAGATATTTGAGGTCAGGAGTTTGAGAGCAGCCTGGACAGTGGCAGTGAGACCACAATTTTATTAAAAATTTTTAATTAATCAGGTGCGGTAACGCCTGTAGTTCCAGTTTTTCACTTCTGGGATGTTGACGCCGTGAGGATCCCTTTGATTCTGGGAGTTTGATACAGAGTCGTGACTGCCACGACATCAGCCTGGGTGACAGAGTGATCTCCAAATAAATAAATAAATAAATAAATAAAGCTTCATCTTTAAATTGGGGCTTTTACATAAACACAAGCTACAGTAAACAATCCCTCTTTTTAACAATTAGAAGTACCAAATTAAAAACCATTAACGTGAACCCATTTTAAACTCATGTAGACTTTACCTTTTAATAAGTTTTTTTTTTTTTTTTTTGAGGTAAGATATGCACTCACTGGAAGGTCTAATTTTGGCTGGGCACGGTGGTTTGTAACCTCATCACCTTGGGAGCCACAGCTCAGGAGTTTTGAGACCAAAGCCTAGGCAACATAACAAGAACTCACTGGGGCAAGATAGTGAGACCTCACCCCTACAACAATTTTCTAAAAGTTAGTTGGGCACAGACACTTGTTTATCATGAAGCTATTTGGGAGGCTGACTTGGGAAGATCACTGTGAGCCTCGGGAGGTCAAGGCTGTAGTGAGCTGTGATTGCACCGCTGCACCCATCCAGAGGGGGATTCCAGTGAGGCTCTGTCAAAAAAGGCAACCACGAATCACTGTACATTTTTGACACACCAACACATCCATATAAACAATCCCTCTCTTAAAAATAAAAGTATATCCAATTGACAAAGTTAATATTCATGGGAATTACCTAGACATTTTTTGTTTGTTTTGGTTTTGACTTTTAATGTTTAATAATACCTAGAAAATGTCATTTAAAATCTGTAGATTTTGATAAAAATGTCAAGGAGTTTTTTATCTTTTAAGATGAAGTGGCTAAAGCCCAGCTGAGTACAGTGGCAGGATCTCAGCTCACCAAAACCTCTGCCTCCCAAGTTCAAAGTGACTCTGCCTCCTGAGTAGCTGGGATTACAGGCGTGACACTACTCAAGTTAATTTTTTTTTTTTTTTTTTTGGTATTTTTAGTACACACACAGATGGGGTTTCTTTGCTGGGTAAAAGGCTGGCCCCTCGAACTCCTGAATTCCAAGGTGATTCACCCGCCTGGCCTCCCCACAAAGTGCTGGGATTACAGGTGTGAGCCACTGCTCTGCCAGGCCTGGAGTTTTCCTGAGCATTTCTCTTCTTCTAAGAAGTTCATGGCATAAAAAAGTGGCAGGTGCAAGGTCTCTTTATCTAAAATAAATAGAATTTACAATAAATAAAAATTTTTAAAAATTTACCTGAGATTAAAGGACAATCAAACATGTGTAATGTGTTGTCTGTAGAAGCATATCATTTTAATAATTATGACATAAATTATTAATAACCAATAAATGTTATAATAATTTCATTAACTAAAATGAAACAAAATCTATTATGATATCTAAGTGAAAATACTTTAGAGTAAAATATTCTCATATCTTGAGACGGCACTGGTTAAAACAGCAAGATTTGCAAGTCGATGTCTTAAAAATGCGCTTACGTTATCAAGTAAGTAGCAGAGATTCCTTCACACCTTTACAGAGTTATCCAAAAGCATAAGTAATTTTACACAAGAGCAGACAATTTTCCTAGCTTGGCTGAGTTTATATGTTAATGTTGTTATAGAATTTAACTCAATTTTCTTATAAAATTATTCTAATCAATTATATGATATTATGATATCATAATATATCAAAATTTATTTAGATGTCAAATAAATTTTATATATCATAATATTATACAATATAACGATATTATAAGTTCCATTTATCTGATAATTTTACTAGTCAGTGTCTGTCAACCACTAATATCTTTTTTGGTTCCACTACTTGCACAGACAGCACAGCTGGGAAACGGCTGCACTCCACCCAACACAGTCTCTCCCTGCTTCTTTTCCTCCTCAGGAATCAGCCTTCAGTCAATCAAGTCATCTGGGACTGGAGGCTGAGTACTCCCTAACACAGAAGGTCTCATTCCTGCATGCTTTCCTCAGCAGACGGGAGACAAGAAGGAAAAACTTGTTGGCTTGTAAATAACAGGTTTCTCCTTCCTGCCGCTTCTTAGAGCCTCAACAAGAAGTTTCTTGCTAAGCCTACTGGGGCCTATGGCTACAGTTAAGGAGAGATTCTTTGTGATCCTGTCAGACAAGAAAACAGTGAATTGTTGTCCCAGCAAGTGTTTCAGGAAACAACATTTTCCTGCTGGGACATGCTGAACTGCTAACCCTTCTGTAGTCTGATTTCTGGAACACCAAGTAGAGACAGACTCTGCTGCAGTAGGGAAGGATGTGAGGCCGCGCCTCACCCAGAGCTCCACACCTTGTTCTGTCTCACTGAGGCAATTTTGAGAGGCTGCCCTGGAATATGTCTTGATGGTGGATGTTGAGAAACAATGGGCTTTGATGGGATTCGGGTGGTGTCTGCTGGTGAAGACAGAGCTGAATGTTCAGAATTCCAGGCTGTTTCTTGTGATCAGTTGCTACCTGTTTGGAATCAAGTCCATTTTTACTAGGGAGGCTGAATAAATTCCACAGAACAGAGTGGTGCTCCCAGGATGACTGAGGCAGGGTGAGAAAGGGGTAATGTTTTTCCACCTAGACTTTTTGCTACCTCAGGAATTAAGGGCTGATTAGGTTAGCACTGGCTCTAATCTAATCAATTCACCTTATTGCATTTGATCTAATTAATCTTCCCATTTTTAAGGTAGGATGGGCATTTTACTGGTATTATTTTTTCTTTGCATTTTATTTCACTTCCATATATGTGTGGATCTAATACAATCAACTATAATTTGACATTTGTTGTTTCCAAGCATTTAAGAAAGTATAATATCTATGTATACAATGTTAACACTATGTATAATAATAAATTCTCTTCTGTGCAAACATATGACTGGAGCAGAAACGAAGAACCCCCGATCTTCTGATCTCTGTGCTCCCGGTTCTTTGTTTTCTTGTCACTATGACAGGATCCTGAAAAAGTCTCTCCTTAACTGTGTCTAGGCCCCCAGTAGAATTACAGCAAGAAACTTCCTGTTGAGGCTCTAAGAAGCAGCAGGAAGGAGAAACCTGTTCAGCCAATAAGAGTCAGCCACGCTCAGCCGAGGGACGTATAAAGGCAGGTCCAGCGGAATAACCCGCAGTCCGCCTTTGGACGTGAAAGAGCGGCCTCCTTTCACTTGAGCGTCAACATGGGAAAGGGAAATGAAGACCCCGGTCTCCACTGCTCCTCCATCCAGCACCCCACTGACCAGCCCCCTTCCCCACAGATCTTTACAGAAAGGGGCCCAGATGAGAAGAAACCATTCAAAGGAAAAGGCAAGACGGCCTCCTCCCATTCCAGTGAGAAGCACATACAAAGGCAAGGTAAGGCCTTGGGCTGCTCCCATGGAGGCTGGAAGGAGAGTTGGAATCAGGGATACTGAGCCATGTGTCTTTAGTAGGGTTTTATTTTGAGATTTGGGGATGGGAAATGGCTTGGTGCCCTCAGGGGACTTTGAGAAATGTGTTCACTCGTGATGCTGGCAGAACTTCACATGAAGGACCGATCTGCAAAAACTCATCGGGACTCTGCCTAGGGAGAGGTGAGTCATCTAAACTTCCTTTTGCAGCAGGATCGGAGCCCAACCCAAACAAGGAGGAGAATTCTGAGGAAACCAAGCTCAAGGCCGGGAACAGCACTGCTGGATCCTGTAAGATTTGACTCTTTCCAGGCAAGAAGGGACCAGCCAGCAACTCTGGCTCCCCTGGTCAGAAAACCGGGGGCTCCTTGGCAGCCAGGGCGGTGCAGATCCTGGACACTGGAGAACAGAAGAGAGCTGGGGTTTGGTGGGAACCTGAGCTCCTGTGTGTCCAGGATGGACTAGGAATTTCAGGGTGTTCAGTTGGAGGCACTTTCTCAAACTCATTGTATTCACAGAACCAGAGTCCAGCTCATACCGGGAAAACTGCAGGAAAAGAAAAATCAGTTCCAAGGACAGCTGCCAAGACAGAGCAGGTAGAATCTTGGTGTTTTTTGTTGGTGGTGGTAGTGGTGGGTTTTTTTGTTTTTGGTTTGCCTCAAAAGGTAAATAATCAGGAAACTTTTATACGAGGCTTGAGCAGAAAGGGACTTACTTACCGACAAGTAAATTTTTGAGATCTTAGCACTCTGAGAATATTTGGGGACTCACAAGGGGTTCAACCTCACTTCATTCCAGTGCTGAGATGGTCAGGAAGGAGTGGGAGAGACAAGTGGGGTTCACCTGGGTGCACAGGGGGTTCTGGAAATGAGGGTCTGTGGGGACTGTTCTGGCGAGTCTCTCACATGCTTTCTTTGCAGGGAACTGTCCAGAAGAAGAGTGCAGCTTGACGCTGAAAAAAAAATCAAGATCCTCCACTGCTGTGCACAACAGTGAAATCCAGGAGACCTGTGATGGCCACCATGGGGGACATTCCAGGGCCCGCACTGGGCGCAGCCAGCGGCACACGTCTCGGGCCCTAGGAGTCCAAACACCGTCACTTCGAAAAAACTTGGTGACCTCTGTGCGAGCTATGTCGGAGGCTATTTATCAAGACCTAGCCCAGGTGTGGGCACAGCAGATCCGTTCTCCACTGACCTCGGAGCAGCTCACACTGCTCACTCAGCTCCGGGGGCCTCTGTGTGCTCAGGTGCAGACCTTGTATTCCATGTCCACCCAGGCAGCTTATGTCTTCCCTGCTGAGGGCTGGCTTGTCCCAGCCACACTGCCTGGTTCTGGGGATTCAGCCCTGGATAGAGAAGCCCATCCCTGGGCGGGAGATAACTGAGCCTGTCAGTGGATCAGATGAGGCTGAGCTGGGAGCACCTTGACCCTATTCAGCAGAGGATGCATCTCTGGGAATGAGAACAAGGACCTGTTACTTCTCAGATTCTTCCAGATGACCAGCAGTGACAATTTTGGATGCACTGTGTTAATAAATGACAGAACTTGAAGAAGTCATAGGAAAGAAACTTGAGTGGCATACTCAGAATTGTGAGCCCTGCATTTTGCAGAGCACTAAGGCTATAGACAAATTTTATATTCCATGTTAGACATTTGATGCCTTTCGGATGTCTGATGACAGTCGTGCATTTCTGTATAATCAGAAAAATATTAGAATGTAATCGTGAATTTGCATATTTTAGATTGTAGAAAAGTAAATACAAAATTATATGCTTTTTTTTTTTTTTTTTGAGACAGTCTTCCTATGTTACCCAGGCTGGAGTACAGTGGCACAATCCTAGCTCACTGCAACCTCCGTTTCCTGGATTCAAACAATTCGCATGCCTCAGCCTCCCAAGTAGCTGGGACTACAGGCAGGTACCACCATGTCTGGCTGAGTTTTTTTCTTGTTTTGTTAGTAGAGACAGAGTTTTGTCACATTGACCAGGTTGGCCTCGAACTCAAGTGATCCGCCAGCCTCCACCTCCCAGTGTGCTGGGATTACAGGCATGAGCCGCCTTACCAAGAAATTGCTTTTCTTTTAATTCAGAAAAGGTTGTAGGCTCTCACTCTTCCAGCCTGAACCCATGGAGTACTAATATCCACAAACCATTAATAGCACTCCCTGTGGGAAAATGTCTATACATTTTTACAGTTTGATATAAGTATAGTAAAATTAATATGCCAGCTATTTACTTTTAATATTTCTACATAAAATTTAAGTCAAGATCTATTAAATGGTAAATGATTATACTTATTTATTCACCTGCCTCATGTTTTATTTCATTTTAAATATCCTAAATTTAAATTTTATTGTATTTTATACATTTCAATTAATTGTACTGTATTGCAGGATATGGAGATTTCATCACATACTACAGCACAGCATATTTTGTTATATTTGACATACATTCTGGTATTTTGTACTGAGATCATACAATCTTTCATTATCTAAGAGTATTAATTACTTATTTGGTTGCTTTATAATTTTCATTTTATGTAATAATGAAATAAACATTAATGTTGTTTGGAATTTTAAATTTCTTTCATATATAATTTGTATCTAATAAAGATGTGAAAAAGAGAATGTCTTATCTTCACTTCTGCGTCATCCTAACCCTGACCTCCCCGCAGCCCACAGCTCTTGTCATAGTCCGGGGACAGTGTTCCATTACTACAGGAAATGGGGCCAGTTCAATGGGAATACACAGAGAGCAATTGGAGACATAGAGATTTTATCCTCCACCACTGCGATAGAAAAGAACCACAGTCATGTAAGACACAATTTTCGGGTTGACACTGCTTACGAGTTATGCTTACACTATGCTGTAGAATAACTCTGACATAAATTTATGTATATTAAATAAATGCACATACATAAATAACGTGTCTAAATAACAATGTATATATCTTAATGAAAATTAACTTTATTGCTAAAAAAGTTAACACACGGATACACACAATGGGATCATAAAATGTTGAAAAATAGAGATGGGGAGAGGAACACAGACATAGAGAAAGGGAGGAACAGAGCTAGAAAAGGACAGATGGACAGAGGGACATTGGAAAGGAGAAAGTGGGGAGAGGGGGAGGAAGGGAGGTAGGGAGTGGGGAGGGAGGAAGGGAAGGACAGAGGGAGAAAGGGAGGCAGAGACACAGAGAGGAAGGCAGAGAGAAAAGCGGTCTTCTGCCCCCAGGACCAGCAGGACCTTGCACTCCGGGAAAATGTTGGGTGCCCAGTGCGGGCTGAGGGCTCGGCCCACAGCTGCGTCGGCCTGCGGGGCGCTCACCGGCCCCCCGGATCCCCAGTCTGGGTCACTTCATCCCGGAGCAATTCAGACGAATTCCGTCTCCCAAGGAAGGAGCGAATTGCGCCCCACGTTGAGCCTGCAACAGAGCGCGAGGCCGATAGTCCCATCCGCACAGGAGTCGCACTCAGGCCGATGAAGCGTGGTTTCGGGTTCCACGTTCCTTTGCCCTCTGCAAGGGGGCCTGTTGCTCACGCGTCTCTGGCCCCCGAAAGAGAGACCATGTTGACTGCTTCCCTAGCTCTGTGGGGACCCAGAAACCTCCAGGGAAGCGTGGAAAAGCAGCACCGTGTCTTCGCTCTCCTTTCCAGTTTCCAAACAGGCCACAGTGGAGACTCCCCTTGTCGCAGGAGACAGGAATCCGTCCTCAGGCCGTGATGCCTCCATCCCCTGCCCAGGCTACGGGCTCTCCGGGCGGCCTCTCTTTCGCAGACGCTCCAGGCCTTCCCCGACTCTCAGCTCCCGAGCTTCCAACACATCGGGCCGGCTCAGGACGGGGTGTGCTCCGAGGCGTCAGGGCCCAGGGCTCACTGCCCTGGGATCCCCTCCGGTGCCCGCCTTGCTGCGGAAACATTGTTTTGGATGCCTCGCCGCCCCTCCTGCAAGGCCCCCTCTTGCCCCACACACCCAGAGTCGCCAGGGCTGTCCCCCCCCCCCCCCCCCCGCAGGCCCTTTTTCTCACAACGCCACCACTGTCCCTTGTCCCCACGAGGACCTGCCCGTGGTCAAGGCGGGAAAGGTTCTGCTTTGCCCCACTCTGGCTTAGAGCCCCGGCAGCCTGATCCCAGGAGAGGGGCTGACGGACATACCCGACACACCCCACCACCAGCACGAGCAAACCACGACACACACACACACACATGGGTGAGCAGCGTGAGCACACACGGACATGCACAGACACACACACGGGCACAAATGGAGACTTGGCGTGTTTTTCTTGGACTGGTTGTGAGACGTGTTTTTTCTTGGACTGGTTGGTTGCTTTGGGGGTGCGTTTCATAGGGTCCTTCCTTTGTTGGCTTCTCCCTGTCCTCTTGCTGCGGTGGGTCCCGAGATTTGTAGAGTGCGCCCGTCCGTCTGGTGACAGCCGGGGCACCGAGCGTGTCCACGGCCCGAGTCCTGGGTCTCTCTCGTGTCCCCGGGACTGGAGTTTACACGAAGTCGGTGGCAATGGGAATCCGGGTGCACAAGGGTGGATTTCCTCGTGGTTGGCGATGGCAACGTCCTTCCGCAGGGAAAGCAGCCCACAGGTTCTGGAGCGGAGGTCTTGGCGGGCGTCTGTGGGACCCGCTACCCCTGCCCGCCCCTTCCTCCGGCTTGGAAGGTTGCGGCGGCGCTGGATGAATGAACTGAATTGCCCGGGCGTCCGGGGAGCGGGAAGACACCCGGGACGGCAGGAAACCCACGTCTGCGCCTTCGGGGTCGGGTGCCTGCCGCAGCGCCCTGGCTGGAGCCCGGCTCCTGGTGGGGCTGCAGCCAGGTGGAGGAGGTGGGATGCTGCCGCCTGGCGGTGCTGCAGCTGCGGACCCCCACGAGGACGCTTCATCTTGACGTAAATCTTTTTTATTTATTCAGCTGATCTGTATCCTTAATTTTAGGTTAGTGGTAACTCCAGAAATTTAGAGGCACAAAATATGGTTGCCCACACCGTATAATCGCATTACCACCTCCCATTACCACCACCTTTCCCCCTCCCCCACCCAAGACTAGGTCTTGCCGTGTTGCCCAGGCTGGCCACAAACCCCTGGGCTTAAGCGATTTGCCTGACTTGGCCTCTCAAAGTGCTGGGATCACAGGTGTGAGCCAACATGCCCAGCCAACCACCACCAAGTTTTGATTCAGCAGGACTGGGTCATGGAGCTAAGTACCCACAAATTTAGAAAAGTTTTAAATATCATAACGTTTCTGTAAGGAAACAGTATTTGGTATCAAATTCTTAGACTCTTTTATAATGCTCTGTTTTTTCCACTGAGCACAGTACTAAGTAGTAACTGGAAAATCACAGCAGAAGTCATATTACTTTTTTAAATACAGAGTCTTTGGCTGTTCTCTAAGCTAAACCTGATCACCTATATTGAGAAAAAAAAAGCCCCAGAGTGTGAGGAGACAGGAGATAGTAGCCAAACATCTAAATAGATGGGAGTGAATAAAGCAGATGACACAGATGAGATGTCCAAAGGTCAAGGAGAAAGCCAGATCTTAAAGTGTGGTTTGCGAAGCTATGCTCCAAAGGAAATCGTTTCTGAGAAGCCCTGGTTTCTTTCTCTTGCTCTCATATAGAGACAGACATCTTCTGCCCAAGGCTCTTCAGTTCTCTAGGTCTGGGCTTCCCCTTCGGCGATCATTCTTCCAGGTTACAAAGAAAATCAAAGCCCTTTGCATGGCTTGCAAGGGGCTGGAGGACCTGGCTGCTTGCTCTTTTACTGCTTTTGAGGACATGGGGCCGTCTGTGATTTTAAAGGAACTCTATGTTAAACATTTTCTAATTTCCATTTTGAGTCTAAAATGTGTGAGAGTAGTGGAGATATTGGGATTTAGTTTAGAAATCCCGGAAACACCACATCCAGATGTCATGTTTTCTGTTTTACAATTTCATATCCTATGAAGGTTTCAAATGTGATTCTACAGAAATTCATACTCAAAAATTTTATCAGAACACTAAGCATCTGCTCCATATAATAAAACCTAATGTTATTTTACTTCAAAACTTTAAGTTTTTTGGTATGTATTGAGGCTAATACTGTAAACATTCTGTGCCCTAATTCCTAAACTGTAATATGGTTTACTGTATCTACTTTCTACATTTAAAACATGTACTTCCCCATTGACGAACTAGAACATTGTTGAGCATGTATTAAATTCCCATTTGTTTCCTGATTTTTAAATAGTTATCATTTTATAATTTTCTCTTGTTTAGTTTGAAGCTTACTAGGACTGTGTTATTGATATTAGGACTGTGTTATTGAGATACATGTGTATATATACACACACAAGCATATACATAACAACATATACACATGGATATATGTATATGTTTTATATACTCTGTATATACACACTTATGTGTATATATGCATATG